CTGTTTTTTGTAGAAATCACGCTAAACCCCCAGTTTCGCTCACATTCTAAGCACGAACCAAACATGGCAACCTATGCGCCCGCACCCAGATAGATAGATGGATAGTTTGAGACTTCTGGGGGTTGAGGGGATGGCTCCAAAGCGAGACTGCCCAGACGTAGATAGCCATTGCTCATCGGACCAAGACCCTGTAGCACAAGACAGTGGCCTTAGTAATGTATGGGCCTGAATAATTACCTATATCACTTTGGGGGTCCTTACTATAATAAGTATAGGAAAATGGGCCCAAAACCCTACTCTAATTATCAAGGCCCCTACATTAATTGACTATTCAGACCCCAACTGTACCTCTCGGAGGGCCGTGCCAGGGCATCGTGCAACACCTGCCTCATGCAGCGACAAGCAGGGCTGTGCAGCAGGACAGGGATCAGATGTCCAAGAGCCCCATGCCCCAAGCCCGACACCTCCACACCCCAACCCGGCGTCCCTGTGCCGACTGCGGTATGTGTGGGCTCGAACCGACTACGCCTCTCAACCCTTCGACGAGTTTGACAGCTCCGGCACCCCTGCAAGAAACCATCTCAAGTCTGGTCGTCTGGAGTCTGGTCCTAGACTACATGTCTTAGGGTTTAGGATTTAGGGGTAGCCTTAGACATAACCTGTTGTTCTCGGCGGGCTGCAACGCTTCGCCAATCAGGGCCGCGCCAGCGCAGCGGCGGCCACAGTGGGGCGCGGACTTCAGCGCCTGAGCCAGAGACTGTTCAGATGAGTCAAAGCAGATGTCTATGAATGTATGAACGTATGCATGTACGCGATGTACGTATCTGTGCATGTATGTGCCTTTTTAACTGTGTAGGTATATGTCCATTTGCATGCATTCAGGCAGGTGCGTATGTATATGTACGAGCATGCACGTGAGCATGTCTGTACGGTGTTGTTCTTTATCTCTCCGATCGGATTTTTCGATGCATGCAGAGTGATGGCCTGGGTGCCAAATTCCACTGAGTTTGCTTAAGTGGGCATTGGAGAACAGCATTCCTTTGCTCTGCCTGTCTGCAGTGCAGCGCTCTTTTCTACCCTGAACGCATCTATGGAACACTCTGACCTTCAGTAATTTCGAGTACGTCACCAGGCGGCAATACTCGGAGTGCCCAACAAGCTCTTGAAAGGCCTCTTGGAAGGAATGCCACACGGTGTGTAGACCACTGGAGAGGGTCATCCTGGAGCAGCTTGGGATGTGACTTAAGCTTGCTAGATGAGATAATATCAGGATCACATGTCTGCTGTGGAAACAAAGGGCCTTCTTCAAGGTTCAAGGGCTCGCTAAGTTCGCTTTGCCAACTTTCTTGCAGATGTAGTAACAGCAGCTTCAGACATAACAAGACCCTTTTTGATCTGCTTGTTTCTTGGGAAGCCGAATATCTCGTGTTTCTGCAGTGACCTGCAGAATTACGAATGATCCCCAACCCAGATGGCACAAAAATGCCCCATCCATAAAACCGAAGAATGGCCCGAGTCTCCCACCCCGGCCGAGTGTCGACTCTACCAGGGACGGGTCGCGTGAGCGCCAGGAAGGGAAGCGCCAGCCGATCCTGTACTGCAGACTCTCCTGAAACTACATGTGTATGTCGTATGTAAGTAGAAATAAACGCATACAAACACACAAACAAACAAACAAACACACAAGCCAGCCAACCAAACCAGACCAATCAACCAACTAACCAAACAAACACACCAACAAACAACCAAACAACCATTGCATACACACATACGTACACACATGCATGCATTCATGCATGCATACGTACATACATACGTATGTATGTATGTATGTATGTATGTATGTATGTATGTATGTATGTATGTATGTATGTATGTATGTATGTCTGTGTGTTGATATGTGTGTGTGTGTGTGTGCATGTATCTGTTCATTTCTGTATCTATGTGCGACTGTACTGGGGGCCGTATGCATGTACGTATGCAGGTACGTTTGCATGTATGTATGCATGCATGCATGTGCGCATGTGTGTATGTTTGCATGCGCGCATGCATCTAGAACAATATATGTACACGTGAAGCCGCTTTCACATAGCCACAGACACAGACGTGCATACCTGCATTTACATCTATGTTGCGTCACACTTGGATGGCTGTAGCTAAACACGTAGACATATATGCATGGACAGAGACAGATCGACACACGCTTTGATGGGCTGAAGGTATAAATAAGATTCTAGCCATTGGACCTTGGGGTGCAGGGTGCGTCACCCTGCTACGAAATGCCAGAAACCTGTAAGCAGAACCGTAACCCGGGACCCTGCACCCTAAGTCAATGTCGGCCTCTCCGTTCGCTCCACAGCGTCGGCATAGTATTGGTAGGCCAGAGGTTGCACGCACCTCACAAGAAGTGGAGACATCGAAACAAGGGCTTAAGGTTGGGTGTAGGGCTCAGGGCTTGGACCACCATGTCAACCGGATAATCCCAGAGTCAGAGACCCCAGTACCCCTTGATCAACGAGCTACATTCTCGGTTGAAGGAATATTTCTGAACGAACGTGGCTGGAAGTGTTATTGAAAGAGCGAGTCCAGGCCCGACATCAAAACCCTAAACCCTCAAGCCCTAAACCCAAAAACCTGCCCTGCACCCAAACAAAGTCCAGGCAATGTCTTGCCTACATGGAAGGCATCCTCGGCTGCACGCATCAATATAGGGGCCTGGATTATTAGACTAGGGTTCTGGGGTATATTATACGCAAATTATAAAAAGGATCCCCCCAAAATAGTATAGGTAATTCGTAAGGCCCCCATGTTGTATCCACTCACAAATCTCATGCAGGAGTCCCTAAACCCTAAACCCTAAACGCTAAACCCTTACCCTAAAGTCCTCTAGCCAAGCTCACCAAACTCCTGGGATCGACCCTGGCTCTGACATGAGATGAGACAACCCTAAACCCTCAACCCTACCTGGACCCTAAAGAACCTTCCGTTTTTAGGGCTCCTTATTATGATTTCCTTACATAAGTCCTTAAAAAGGCAGGTTATTTGGGGCTAAACCCTACAGTAAACCTATCAGCTGTGGAGCGCCAAGTGGCGATATCAGGGATGGCAGGTGCATCGCATCGATCGCCAGATCCTCTCCGCGGAGACTCCAGATCTCCATGTGAACCCACGGTCGACCGTTTAGGGTTTAGGGTTGAGGGTTTAGGCTTAGGTTTAGAGGTGAGGGTTTAGGGTGGTTTAGGGTTTAAGGTTTAAGATTTAGGTTTCGGGTTTCGGGTTTAAGGTTTAGGGTTTGTTGAGAGGCCCTGCTGAAATTTGGGGGGCAAACTTCTCTCAGGGTAAGGTAGGGTCCTGTCCAGAAAGCCTGCCAAAGTTGCAGGTGTATACGTGACAGTTCCCTTGTTGAAAAACTTCATCACATGTTAAGGAGTACCTGGACCCCGAAAGTATGTAGAATAATAGCCTTTTAGAAGTTTTGGGCCATTATTCTACCTACTTTTGGGTGTTAAGGAGTATGCCTTAATTCAAACATATTGCAGTCTCCAGGGTCAGGATGGAACCCTTCCAGCGATTTGGGCCCAGCCGGAATCGCCGCTGTGTTTCGCCTCCTACGGCCACTGTCTCGACTAGGGCTCTCACCTGTAAGCCCTAAACCCTTGGCTAATCTAGGGGCCTTAATAGCCTTAATAATTAGAATAGGGTTTTGGGGGCCCATTATACTCTAGTCATAATGAGGAACCCCCCAAAATAGTATTGGTGATTTATTTTTGGCGCCTACATTACAAGTGATGTTCCAGGTCATTGGCGCCCAGCAATGTGGCGGCCCCTGGGGCGCAATCCGGCGGAATGTTCCAATCCCTGGCAAGCATTTTGGGGCCCCCTTCTGCTCTCTAATGGTCTTTAGGGTTCAGGGTTTAGGGTCTAGGGTTTAGGTATCCGAATTTTCAAACCCTAAACCCTAAACCCTGTCGCTGTAAGTGCATAGCCTGTACGGTTAAACGAGTTGAAACGGGATCTCTGGCTCGATAATGTAGGAACCTGATTAAGAAACCCTGGCTCTTTATTAGGGTTCTGAATATGATCCCTAATATCTTGGGGTTATAGGGCCAGGGTTTCTTAATCAGGTTCCTACATTATCTTTCTTCGGGACTCGGGAACTTGGGATTTGTGGTTCGAGGCTTTTCCGTTCATCCGTCGGAGTTGCAGGCCCAAGGAGGATGCAGAGTTTCTGACAAGCGGAAACCCTCGGAAATCACATGATCATATGGGTAGTTCTCTAAACTAGGGTCCTTTTCAGGGTCCCCTTCATAAGAGTGCCGTACTATATTGGGGACCCAAAAAGGGACCCTAATTTAGAGAACTACCCATATGAGTGCGAGTCAGCAGCACCGCCCTCAGTCCAAGGCCAGTGCACATGCCAGGAGCACTGAAGGGTGTAGGGCCGTGTAGGGTTTACGGCCAAACACAAAACCGCCATGTACTCAGGCCGAGTCCCGAATTCGCAGGTCCAAAGAAATTAAGAAGCCGGCCTCTGTATAATCGGGACATGATCCCAGAAAGGCTCGTGCTGCAAACGCCTGGGCACGTTCATGGCTTTAGTGGCGTGTCGTGTTTTCTGGTACACGGGGCGTAGGAAGAGGTCTCAGCTGGAGCAAGGGAAAGGAATATGAGCTGCCTTGACAGTATATCTTCGTATCACACCACCACCGCTGGGCCGAAAACTCAAGCCCACCAATTGGCAAAAAGTGGCTCGAGGTGGCAGACATCGGGCCGCGCCATGGCAGAATGTAGCTTTGTGTGCGTGACTTCCGGGTCAAAAAGTATGGCTTTTCATGTTCGACACCTCCACCAAAACCCAACAACCTTAACACTCAAATTCTATGCCATCCCACCTTAAACACTAAACCCAACAACCTTAACCCCCTGACTCCTATACCATCTCACCCTAAACCCTAAACCCTAAAACCCCCAAATCCTACAGCATCCTAAACTTCGGCGGATCCCTGGACTTTTGGCTCAGGACGGGGTTCTCCCCTGAATGTAATATAGGGGCCTTCAAAAGTAGAATAGGGTTTCGGGGCCCTTTATACTATACATCATAGTAAGGAACCCCCAAAACCCTATTCTATATTTGCTTCAGGCCGCACTTCAGCCGCGACTGAGGGAGCCATGCGCAAGAGGTTTACATAGGGTTGTGGATGCTCAAGGTTTAGAGTTTAGTTTAGGGTTTCTGTCTACGGTTTACGGCTTTTCTTAAAAGAGCTCTTTGGGCTTAGGGCTTCAAGTTTAAGGGCACAGGGTATATGCTTCGGGTTCCGGATCTGTTTTTTAACGTTCAAGAATGTTTGGGGCGTGTGATTTCGGACCAAGGGGGCTTTAGGACCGTAGAACCCAAACCCTAAAATCCGAAAGCGCTAAGGCTCCAAGGCATGAAAAGCTGTGGGGCTTAACAGCTAAACCCTAAAACACTAAACCCCCTAAACCAGCTGCCAGAAAATACATGATGTGCGAACTTCTTAAGCCCTACATGGTGCGCAAGATCCCCTGCAAAGCCCGATCCAAGGCTAAGCCGGAACTCTACACCCTAAAGCCGAATGGAAGTCCTAAGCTAGAAACCGTCCAACACCAAAACACAGCAATCCTTTTGGGGTTTAGGGTTTAGGGTTTAGGGCTGCTGAACCGGTAGTATAGGCGCCTTCATGATTTGAGTAGGGCTGTATTAAGGCTAAGGGTTTGGTGAAGTCGTCATTGGAATAGAGCTTCGATTCAGGCTTCGCTATAATTCCTGCCGAAACTATAGATGTAGATATTGAGATACACGGTCTACACACAGATACAAAGGCAAACATACAATCTGGGCAAATGGGCCAGAAGACAGTGAAGCAAGATTAATCAAACATTCGTTGTATAAATGGAATACAACCTGAAACCCTAAACCCTCAACTCTAAACCCTTAGCCCCACCTGGACCCCAACTCTACACCCTAAACCCTCAACTCTAAACCCTGAACCCTATACCCTCAACTCTAAACCCCTAAGCCCCAAACCCTAAATTCTCAACTCTAAACCCTGAACCGTCAACCCTAAACCCTGAACCCAATCCATGTTTCCTGGCAAGTTCTGCACATGGGAGTTTCCGAAAATAAGGGGGTACCTTATTTCAGGGTCCTTATATTAGGGATCCTACTATTTAGGGTACTATATCAGGGTCCCCGATTTTCGGAAACCCCCACATCCCAAGAGCTTCGGGGCCCTTAAGGCTCTCCGTGGCTCTCAGCAAGCAGCCTGCGAACGGCCTGCGGAGCAGGGACATGAGACTTAGGGTAAGGGTTTAGGGTTTAGGGTTTAGGGTTTAGGGTTTAGGGTTTAGGGTCTAGGGTTTAGGGTTTAGGGTTTAGCGTTGAGGGTTTTAAGGGGGTACTATCGGGTAATAAGTTGTAGAACACCCCAAACAAACTGTGCTGTTATTACGTGGGGCGCTACGGCTTGGGGGACAAGTTTAGAGCTTTAAGATGTCCCACTGCTCTGTGGAACCTGTGAAGACTATGAAGGTCGGCTTAATGCCAAGAAACCGCATGCATGCAAATGCCATTTTCGGAGTCAATTCAAGCTCGAAAAAAATAACAACCTTCTTCCGATCCTCAAACCGACTCCATCAAACTCGATCCGGCCTCATGAACATCTTGCTCCAGCCGCCAAGGTGCCTGCCATCATTTCAGCTCTCCAGTCTTGGGGTTGCCAAAACAAAAAGGACCAACACCCTATAAACCCTGAAACCCTAAAACCCTAAACCCTAAAAGAAAAGCCTAAGCACCTAAACCCTAAACCCAAACATATTCTCTGAGTCGCTTCTTCCGAGCCGGTCTGGGGAAGAGGCCGGGGAAGCAACGAAGCAGCTGGGCTTTAGCATTTGCGGCCGGATGCGGGAGCTTCCAGTTCCCAGTTCCACCCTTCCAAGTTTTTGTTTACGGGTTACTGTAGGGGCTTTAATAATCAGAATAGGGTTTTGGGGTTGTCTCATACTAGAATTCTAGTAAGGACCCCTCCCCAAAAAAAAAATAGGTAAAGATTTGGGTGCTATATTAGTTTGCATGTAGGGTTTAGCATACACTTGTCAGCTTCTGTCTGATGGGCATGAAGTGCGGTCTTCGCGAATTCTGCATTATTGCAACCAACCCATGCTGCAAAGACGTCCCTATCGCCTACTCATCAGATGGGGTGTTCTGATTTTGCCAGCAGAGCTAGATGTTCAAGGTCATGTGTCGGAAAGCTTCGGAAAACGGGTGCAAAAGGTCAAAAGGTCATGTCTTGAGAGTTATGAATAACAGCCATGAGGCTTACAAAACACCCGTCACAAGAGTCATCAACACAATGATTGTCTACAACCATCATGAGAAATCATTTATTGATCAACATAACTTTCATAATTCAACCATGGTCCAGATGCAATCATCTACTGCATCATCTCTCCGCCAAGACTTGCCTCCCTCTTTCATTACGAATCGGAGCGGCCCCTTCAACTACCAGAATACTAATCTTGCACGTTACAAGGGTTTGGCTGAAAGACGTTCCGTCATTCAAAGTTTCTAGAAGACACAGTCTCTGTGACGAAGCTCCTACTGTAGTGTCTGTGCATCATGCTTCGGAAGTGTCCGAGTAGTTTCGGAATCTCAGCTTTAGTGTCAAAGCGGGAATTTCAGGACAATAACATGCCCAAATACAGATCCCATGCGGCAAGCGGTAAACTCGTTAATTAATTCAGATAAGAACCGCCAGAAAGTGAAACCAATTTTGATAAATGTCCAGAAATCCCACCGATACCTCGGCGAATCTCCAAAGGAGCAAGTACCCCGGATCGCCCACAGAAGCGGAACCACCCCCAACCGTCATGACGTCAAGACATACGTCGTCACCTCGGCGGCATCGCCAGTGAAGTGGGAGGGCCCCTGATAAACACCTTGGCTTGGAGGGTGGTGGATCATCTCAGTGGCTCCGGATCTTGCTGAAGCCGGAAAAACTACAGCTTCTATACAAACTTCATCGGCATCTGGAGCTTCGCATGACGGGGCAGGGGCAAGTTTGGCAGTTTGTTTACCGAGGGGCCGGTGCGCACCAGGATCGATCTCCATGGGCCCTCCGCAGCATTGGCGCCTCGTATGTCGGCTGCAGGATTGTCGCCGATCATGTAGATCCTGCGAGGGTTTAGGGTTTAGGGCCGGTTTCGGGGTTCAGCTTCCTACAGGTTTTGGAGGGGGTTGCGCGCATGGGAGTCTCGACAGGTTCGATGTGCAATGGCTTTACCCTAAACCCTAAACCCTAAACGCGACTGAGTATTTGATGCCCCTAACCGTAAACCCTGAACCCTAGAGCGATACACCTCCAGGAGGGATGCTGAAGGGGCTGTATGCGACTCAAGCTGAGCCATGAGTTCTGAGATCCTCAGCCTCAGCCCTGAAATCCTGAGCCCAAAGCCCAAAACCTTTTGGGGGGCTTCGGCTTCGATGCATCAGGCGGGTCGGTCTTCATCCGAAGCATCGGGGTCCCCTCAACCCTAAACCCAAACCCCGAAGTCACAAACTCGTAAACACCTAAGCCCGAAACCCTAAACCCTAAACCCTAAACCCTAAACCCTAAACCCTAAACCCAAAACCCTAAACCCTAAACCCTAAACCCTTAACCTTAAACCCTAAACCCTAAGCCGAGCCGTCCATTCCCAACCCCACACCCTCTGCCCCTTTGAACGAGGCGAACAGCTCATCGAAAGCAAACCACTAACCAAAACGTAAGTCTTGTCTTTGTGTAAGATTTACCGTGTTGTCAATTCTAAGAAGCGTCTTACCGTATTCCGACGAAAAAAATGTCTCAAATCAAGGGCTCTAAAGGTTTCAGATTATTGTGTGAAATACTCGAAACGCTGATCCGGCGCGATACCTCGAAACCCTAAACCCTAAACCCTAAACCCTGCAGACTCGAAACCAGCCCTCAACGGCAGAACCACAAAGCCACGACCACACGGGCTCCCAGTGTCCGGGAGAAGCTACTCGTAGAAACGCCAGCCACTTCCTGAAACGAGAGGCACGAATCTAATGTAGGGGCCTTAAGAATTAGAATAGGGTTACAATTATAGTAAGGAGCCAACCCCCCCAAATAGTATAGGTAATTGTTTAGGCCCCGGTACTAATGCAGTTTAAAAAGCCCTGGCGGGTCTGTGCCCCCTGCAGACCGAGTTTGAGCGATCAGGGTGTTGGTTAAGGAACTTGCCTCATGTTACTAGACTAAGGAAAGCATGGTGTCTACTGCATGCCTCTGCTGTGGCACGCAGCTTGAGCTACGTTTCTAGAGCCCTCATAAAGTTATCAGCTTCCAATTCTAACAATCCTGGGAATCCCTTCTGACAACCCGTAAAGCCATTTCAAATGCTATCAGCCTTTGAACAGGCCTTAGGAATCATTCCGAAACCCTGCAGCTTCAGGTGAGTTGTGAGGAGCTTGCCGGTCATCACTTCCGGTTTTGAGGCTGGCAGGAACCTTTTGTAAACACTACCAAAAACCTATTTTCAATATTAAGGCCCCTTTACTAAACCCCGTGTAATACCCTTATAACTATATAGACCCATTAGAAATAGCCTCAGCCCGGCATCCGAAACCTCCAATGTTTAAAACTTCGTCGCGGGAAGAATGGATGCCCATGGAACAAGCAAGCACCAAACCCGCTATGAACCTGTTACAACCCCCTGTAAACCGGAAATCCCTATGAACCCCCCTCAACCCCTATCACCCCTATAAACCCTAAACCCTGAAAACCCCAAAAGCCCTACTTACTGTAGGGGCATAAATAATTTCCTATACTATTTTGGGGGTTCCTTATTATAATTATAGTACAATGGGCCCCAAAACCCCAGTCCAATTATCAAGGCCCTTCTTAAACAAACTCTCTCAGACCAGGCTCTGCTAGCATGGCTTCCGCCGCGTCGAACTGCACCTTGTGGGGCTTGCCGCATTCCTGGAGGCAGCCCGGAGTCTAGGGTTACAATGTAGGGGCCTGATTAATTCAAAGAGGGTTTAGGGTTTAGGGTTCGGAGTCTAGGGTTATAATGTAGGGGCCTGAATAATTCGAATTGGGTTTTGGGGTACATTATTACTATACCAACTAGAAGGAACCCCCCACAATAGGGTATGTAGTTATTGAGGCCATACTGAAAGGGTTTCGAGGCTTAGGCTTTAGAGGCGATAGCTAAGCAAAAGGTCTCGTCGCGTCGACATCGTCGTCAGTGCCGCCTGTGCTGGTGGGGTAGTGGTGGTAACTGGTAGTAGTCGTGCTGGTCTTTCACCCCCGACTGCGAAGCCAGCAATGCTACGCGACTGATCCGGCTCAGCATCGGTGCTGCGCGGTTGAGGGCATCTTACTTGGAGCAACCCTAAACCCTAAACCCTAGAGGCCATCTTACTTGGAGCAGGCGCAGCTTCTCCTGAGGGTGTGGAACAGCGCGCACGCAGATGTGCTCAAATCAACAGAGTTGTCCCAAGCCACCGAAGCTGCAGGCATTAATTGTCACGGTAGACTATAGTATAGTAGATATATTCTCTAAATCATAATATGATACTTTATTGTAATAGTCGGGTAATGTTTATTAAGCCGGGAAGCCACCGAGAAATGCGAAAACCCTTTGAGCACGCAAGGCTTACTGGAGGAGTCCTGAATCTGCAAGTCATCTCCGGTGCGGCGGCGCCAGACGGCCTTGGATTCTCCAACAACTTAGGAAGGCCAACTTCATGTGGTTTGTGGGGTATGTGCTACTACTTCTAATATGATTATAACAAGGAGCCCTAGGAATGATACTTTATACTGCCCTCAAATAAGGAAGATTCCTTAAAGACTATATGACGTTTCGGATGGTAAGCTCTTTCGGGAGGGATAAGTCGGGCTTGCTGTGGATTCTTCAAAGGGGCTGCGGGTTTGAAGGACGGCGCTTTAACGGCAGCTAAACGTCTTCATGGTGCATTGTTCGGCGGTCAGGGTGTCAAGATAGAAACTCCACATGACACCATAACCAAGTGGGCATGAGGCATGGATCGTAGCAACATGGTGCTACTGCTACACGTGCGCCTTCTTTACTCTCACGTCTTCCTTACTCCTACATTACAAGCGCTGCAGGGATTTCGACTAACCCTTGCTAACGGCCTCAGTGCGCTGCGTGGACCTTGATCTGGGGGTCACGGAAAATTCAAAGCGCCCTCAATCCTCAAGCCCTCTAAACCCCACACCTTAAAACCCAAACCTCTAAACCCTAAATCCTAAACCTCTAACCGCAAAGCCCTACACCCTAAACCTCTAAAACCTAAACCTTTAAACCCTAAGGCTCCGACAACAAATCCTAAAGCCGGCACTCGAATTACCCCCTCCCTCCAGGCCTTCAAGCTCTCGAGGAAGGCCCCATTGCCCAAGCGGGAGACCGGGTAACCGGCCTGTTACTGCATGCAAAGGAGACGGGGTTCTTTAGGGTTTAGGGTTTAGGGGTGTAGGGTTTAGAGTTTAGGGTTTTGTAAAGATCTCGTTTCTGCTTTTCCCGCGCTCAAGTTGCCGGTTTTTCCTGAATCGACTAGGACTAGGGTTTTGAGGGACATGGTACGGTAGGCTAGGGTTTAGGGATGTTTAGGGTTTAGAGGTTACGGGTTTAGAGGTTACGGGTTTAGGGTTTAGGGATGATCCGGAAACGTAAGGAATCCATATCGCTAGTTATTCCGGCCTCCATGTCAGATGCGCTCATGTGCTGGGGTTCTTCCGAGCGCCCGGATTTACAGAAATCCTACGGACCCGACAGAAAAGCCCCCAGCGACCCTGAACCCCCCCATTCAGATCTGCCGCCCGAAACCCGGTACTCCCAGAACGACCCTAACACCGTAACGTCCTGAAAAACTATAAGACATGATGGGAACCTGGAGAACGCTAACTAAACCGGTACGGTTAAGCTTGTGACGCTTTATGAAAAAGCTATCAATCGTAGGTAAGCAGGTACAGTGAAATCGTATAAAAGCCCTCGTAAAGCAGTAATTAGAACCGCCTAGGGCCTAGGTTGGCCCTAAACCCTAAACCGTTTTAATGCTTCTGCGAAACATTCGCAAGGAAGGTCCTCGGGAACGCGCAAGGAATCCCAAAGTTCTACCTAGCTGCGTTGCAATTTTAGTCAGTCTGACACCCTACAAAACTCCTCATCAAGCCAGCATAAAGGCTTACAAACGCCTTTAGAATACGCAAAAGCCTATATTACTACCTATGTTGGCCCTTGCAAGCCTCTGGATAATATCAGTAAAGAAGATCTTCTGAAGCCCAACAAGTGTAAATTGTTAGAAACATAGTCCTAGCAACCATTAGCTGCGTCCCCAGCGGCCCAAACCCTAAACCCTAAACCCTGTACCCTAAACCTTAAACCCTGAATGAACCCCCCTAAAGCCTAAAACCGTACAGACCCTAAACCCTAAACCCTGCAGCCTAAACCTTAAACCCTAAACAGTACTTAGCTGCACTCCAAAGGTACAATATATAAACGTAGTAATAATAAGGAACCCCCAAAACAATATAGGTAATTACTACGGCCCATATGTTAGCTGCGCTCCAAGTAGCCCGCCACAAGAAGTCGGCATTTGAGGCCCAAACCTGGCACGAATTCAGGGTTTAAGGGTTGAGGTTTTAAGGTTTACGGTTTAGGAAGTTAGGGTTTAGGGTTTAATGTTGAGGGTTTAGGGTGAAGGGTTCCCTTATTCAAAGGGTACTGTGTTTTCGGCTTGGGTTTAATTAAGGGTTTAGGGGTTCAGGGTTAAGACTTCTTTTTCAGGAACCCCTAAAGGAACACGTAACTTTAAAGGAAACGGCTGAAGGAACGCCTTAAAGCCGTAAAGGAAACCCCAACGTAAAGGAAACCCTTAAAAGAACGCCTGAAAGGAAACCCTAAACCCTAAACCCTAAACCCTAAACCCTTCAAGGAAAACCCTTCAAGGGAACTTTTAGGGGTTGCTTTAAGGGTCCTTAGCTTCGGCTCGGGGGTGTCTTGGACCCCCCCCCGTCTTTAGGGTTTAGGGTTTAGGGTTTAGGGGGCTTGTTTGGACCCCCCGTCTCTGGTTTCGTATGGGGCTTTTGGATCTTCGATGTTGGTTTAGGGTTCAAGGCTTCTTTGTCAGTCTCGATTCTCTGCGCTTTTTCAAGGATGTTCTATAGGGATTTGCTTTTAGGGCTTCATCTCGGTAGTACGGCTGTAATGCTTGACTTTTGCTTTCGGAGGCTCCGATAGTAGAACAAGGCCCGCGGTTTGCAACCATTCCATGGCGGTTGTGGTGGCTTTCGAACTCGGGACGGTACTAAAGCCCTACAAACGCTCGTATAAAACACGGTGCCATGCTCCTCACAATCCCCGTAAAGCTTTATAATCCCCTTTGAAAACCACGCTCAAGAACAAACGAAAATCTGTGTGTCTCCGAGATAACCCGGAAGTTTCAAGACACAGCAAATCCCAGAGCGAACCGTGCAACGCTCAATTTACACCGCAGTCCATTGAAGGTTCCTTACATAATCGAGGATTTCTGATTGAAGGCTCAACAGGCCATCTGAACGACCAGAAGAACCCATTCCCCGTTTCTCTTCGTGGCAATAGTGGCGAATGGCCTCGGCAACCTGTTTGTCGCCAGAACCCATGGGGCGCCCGCCGGCCACGGCGTCCGTGATCACCTGAGCTTTCAACATTCAATGGCTGATGCTCATTATTGTTCAGGTCCTCTTTGCGTTGGATGTAGGTCTTAGAGCCGCTTATACTAAGGAACCACCAAAATGATATAGGTAATTATTTAGGCCCCTTTATTCAACCCCTAAAGTGTGCAGGTTCCCTGCCCCGGGGAGGGGAGTGCTCGGAAGTCTGACCGGAGTTCTACGTGCCTCCGTCAAATGGCACTATGCCAAGTATTCGTATCATCATTTTGTAATTTAGGGCTTAGGGTTTAGGGTAGCAAGGCTATTCTTTCTTCATTGTTGTTATTGCATGCTTTTGTTATTGCAAGTATTTTCATGTATGCTCATGAACTTCCAGGTTAGAGTTGCTTCGATGCCAGGATTTCAGGCCCCCCGAGGACAAGGGTATCTATGAGATGTCAAAGCCTACCAGCCGCCACACCCTAAACAACCCCAATGCCCTATACTAAAGCTCTCAATAAGGGCGGGGCAGTAATTTACATGTGCACTGGATCAAACAGAATTCCAAACTTCCGACACTTGGGGTACTGAAAGGCTGGCAGTGGTAGTCACAGGAACCTACTTGTATTCCGCAAGTAATGCTGCAACTTAGTGCGGAGATAGTCGTGATAACGACCGGCACACCCAAAAATCACAACAAAAACCAACACACGCTCCACAAAACAGAACCCTAAACCCTAAACCCTAAACCAGCCCCAAACCCGAAACC